TGCACTGTCTGCCCCCTCCCTCCATTCTCTGCATCTTTGTATGTACTCCATCTTTCCCCAGGTTGTCCCAGTCTCTCTTTCCATCATTGTTTCTTTCATTTTCTTTTTGCTCTCTTCCAGCTGCCACAATTGCTTTCTTGGACTCCCTCTGTCCTGTTCACTGACTGCTTAGGACCTATAGATTGAGGGAATTTGGGAGAAACTCTGACAACTCTCACTATCCAACCTAGAAACCCACTGAGTGCCACAAACTTACTGTTCAGTTTCCCGACCTGGATACTCCTCTGTCCCCTGACAACAATTCCAGTCTTGCCAGTGACCTGTGAAGGAGGGACATGGGATGACCAGACTGCTCTTTGCCATCGGAGTGCAGTCACACTCACCCACATGCATCTTGCCCTCATAAACAACCAAAATAAATTGTGCATCCAATCCCACCCCAGACTTCAAGTCCAGCAGATTTGCAGACATCACAGTGTGGGAGGAGAAGATTTAACACAGGAGATTCTGGTCAATTCTGTCCAGTTAGGAAAATGGATGGGTAGAGGGTTCACAGGAGATAAATGAGTGATGAGTATGGTATTTCCCCTCTAGCAGACCAGTCTCCAAGCCAGACGAAAAGCCATCTCAACTGAGCAGCTGTTTGATAATCAGAATGATACCCCATTCATCTTAAAAGGGAAAAGAGTTTGCCAGCAGACTTTGCACAAGACACTTCTAGCTGCAGCCTTGGCAGAGGCTAAGGGGGTAATGGGCTACAAATGCAGAAGTCTCCTTCCATCCATGGAGCTGTCTGGGGTCCCAACACCAGGATCACAATGTGGCCAGGCTGGGTGTAGCATTTGCCTGGTTTCTCTGAGAACAAGTCTTTCCTGTCATCCCTTCAGGGATGACCTAAATTACACCCTCAACTTTTTATTTGGGCCTGGTCCCATCAGTGCAGACGTTCCCCCCATGTCATCTACTACCCTTACTCACATAATACACAAAACCTATACGGCTGGTGTCTTCTCCCAGGTCATCCCGATTGAGTGTGAAGGTCACCTGGACATTCTGCTTCAACCCACAAGGCAGTGTGTCTGTAGGTGGGTGTATGTCCAAGAAGCTCTTGGTTGTCATATGGAAGGGCTGCAGGTGGTGGTAAGCATTTGTGTAACTGAAGTCAGATTTTCGAGGTGTGTGTATGAGATCTTCCAGTGTGAACCTTCCCTGAAAGAGGACCAGAGACACATAGAAATCAAAAGTTTCATGCTTCGATGCTTTATTAGGATGTCATCAGCTTGGTTTGGGAAAGGCTGTTGGCTTGATGCCTTCCTGCTGGCTCTGCACAGGCAGAGCTGTGTGGTGAGCCCAGGACTGAGCAGATAGGGGGGCTGCAGGGCAGGAGTGGGGAGGACTGTCAGAGTTCAAAGTTTCTCACTTTCCTGTATGCAGAGGTGGTATTTACCTCCAAAGAGACTGATGAGCTGTTCCAGACAGTTGTGTCCAGGTTGAATGATGCTATTCCACTACCATCTGTGATGTATGTTTTGATAAACCGCCTCCTCATGAACCTTATCACAAGATAAACTTTCCTGTTTTTCATAGCATTTCCATAGTGATCCTGAACCTTGATCTGGTGACAACAGGGTGAAGTAGGAAAGACAAAGTCAGATATAATCAGGAAAGACAAAGTCAGATATTTCTTCCAATGTCATATCCAAAACCTTCCTCTCTCTGCTAAACATAGACCCTCCTGTGTAGGTGTCCTTAACTTCAGTCTGGCCCCAAGAAGACAAGAGAACTGTACAACTGACTCATCTCTAAAGCTAAGCTGAGCATGATTAAAATCTGTTTGCTCCAAAAGGTGCATTAGACTAAAGCATGAGGAGCTTATCTCCTAGGCAGCAGCTGAGGCATCCTTGCATCCCAGCAGCTGTGCTGAGACACCACTCATCGTTCTCAGCAGAAGCTGGAGGTGTAAACACAACATGGAATCCGAAATGCTGCAACTGGAGCCACGCTGTCAAGTAGTGTGACACTGCAAGGTAAAGTAGTCTATCTGAGGAGCAGAAAATGGTTTGGGTCAGCAAAATTTACTAGACACTCTATTCCTTGGCAAATGGTGGGGATTGAAAAAGCAAGGGAAGAAAATCACCTTTCCCCTGTAGGGTACTCCAGGGATGTAATATTCATTGTGTGTCTCAAACACTGCCCTTGCAGCTGTTCTGGAGATGAGGATTTGTCTGGAGGTGTTGATCTGCACCCCTGTTGGAATGCAGAATGCAAGGGAAGCAGGATCAGTATCAGAGGTGACTACTGCACCCTAGTTTAATCTCACTTTGTTATTCACAACCCCTCTAAGCAGAGTGTCTCAAAATTCCTACCCAACACCAGCATTCTTCAAGGTTTGGAGACTGCTGCTGTGGCAGCTCCTTCCTTAGTTAAGATGTCTGCGAGCCCCTTTGTAGCCTCACAGACTACACTCTTAGCCACACATCATCTGCCTGCTGCTGGCAGAGTAGTTCTCTGTATCCTGGGGTGGTCCCAGCAGCAGGGAGGAGGAGAGGGGAAGGTGTGTCATCTCTGGCCCTCAGATGCCCAGAATGGTTCCTCTTGCCCTTATACCTTCCCTGCTGAGCCCCCTGGATACCTGTGCCCATCTCCAGGAGGGAGGCGTCTGCTTGGAGTTTGCTGTCTTCCTCACTGGGAGCCAAACTGAAGACTGATGTGCTTACAGAGGTTGTGAAACACCCATTCCTCGCTGTCTGCAATAGAGATTGGTAGGTATTATTTGGGGCTGAGGAGAAAGGAAGAAATCAAAGGTGCAAGGTATGAGTCATTCTGTCGTAACTGTTGACTACAATAAATAATAATGCAGTAAAACACTGGAACAGGTTTCCCAGAGAGGTGGTGGATGCTCCATCCCCGAAAACATTCAAGGTCAGACTGGACAAGGTTCTGAGCAACCTGATCTAACTGAAGGTGCCCCTGCTCATTGCAGGGGGGTTGGACTAGATGACTTTTAAAGGTCCCTTCCAACCCAAATTATTCTATGATTCTATGATACATAGACATGGTTCACATTTTAAATCCTGTATTTTCTGTTTTATATATGTGAATATGTGTAATTCATAATGTAAAAATAGAAATCAAAACATGCATCGCAGTTTAATCAAAGTTACAATATTGTCAACTTTCCAGCTTTGTAGAAAACATAACTGGATCACAGAGCAAATACATGAGTATTTTAATAGATCTAGCTAGAAGAACTGGAGCATCAAATGAAAATTCAAAGTAACAAATCATTTCCAGAGCTGAAAGATTAGACCTATTGTAACAAGTCAAAATAACAAATCATAAAGCATGAAAAGCCTTCAGCTGTTCATGTACAAGGGAAGAGCGCAGCTCTGAAATACTTTGCTAGGAAGAGAAAT